CTGCAGAAATAATTAAAGAATATTACATTTATATATATATATATATATATATATATATATATATATATATATATATATATATATATATATATATATATATATATATATATATATATATATATATATATATATATATATATATATATATATATATATATATATATATATATATATATATATATATATATATATATATATATATATATATATATATATATATATATATATATAATCACAAAAACACTGATCCAAGTATGCAGAATAACCACATGTGAAAAATAGAAAATGCTTAACGCGTTTTCGGCTAATTCGCCTTCATCAGAGCAAAGTAGAATGAAGATAAGAAAACATTGCTGATCAGACCTTTATATCCGTCTGGGCAGATCACCTGATCACCAAAAATAAGTGGAGGAAAGGAATTATAAGAAAGAAGGTAACTGCAGAAGGCCTATTGGCCCATACGAGGCAGCTCCTATTAATATCTCCAAGTGCCATACGTGTTACCATACGCCATACGATTGCTATATTGTTTTGACGCGCTATATTGAGGCTTAAATAGCTTAAATAGGGATCCAACTTGTTCATACCGGGGCTCACGTTGCAACCCGTTCTCGCAAATTCGTAAAGTCAATATTGACTTATTAACTACGTGCATAGGTGATATACTAAACATAATAGATACCCTTAAAAAGATTCATAGAAAACACCGACCTTACCTAACCTTGTTAGTATCTTAAGATAAGCATCTTATTGCTTCGTAATTACAATTATTACTTAACCTATACCTATTATAGGTTAGGCAATAATTGTAATTACGAAGCAATAAGATGCTTATCTTAAGATACTAACAAGGTTAGGTAAGGTCGGTGTTTTCTATGAATCTTTTTAAGGGTATCTATTATGTTAAGTATGTGACCTATGCACATATTTAATAAGTCAATATTGACTTATTAAATTTGCGAGAACGGGTTGCACATTAAGGCTGTTGTTACAATGTTTGATCAGAGCAGACTCGATCACGTTTCGTTCAACAAAATCCTTACTTTTAACAATACATTTTGCCCCTGTGAAGTCGATAGAATGATTACATAAACTGGAATGTAAATACAATGCACTGGAGTGCTGGGCTGTACGAATAGCATATGAATGCTTGGTTAACAAGTTGTCTAGTTTGAAATTAAATTATGATTTTAAACTTGTGAGTTTTGATGTGACGGCTCTGTTCACTAGGGTTCCTGTTGATGATCTGTTGTCATTCTTACTGGATCTACTCCCAAGGTATAATTTAACTTTGCCTACTAACACCATTATTGAACTTATAAAATTGTGCATTAAAGATAATTATTTCTGCTTTAATAATTCATTTTATAAACAAACATTTGGCATGGCGATGGGTAATCCCCTCTCCCCTGTTTTAAGCAATCTGTACATGGAATGTTTTGAAACAAATATCCTTCCCAGGATTTTACCCTCAAATTTGCTTTGGTATAGGTACGTTGACGATATTTTATGCCTGTGGCCGGTTAACCATGACAAAACTGATTTTCTCAATCAAATTAATTCACTTTTTCCGTCAATTAAATTCACAATTGAGAACAAAGTGAATGGTGTTCTGCCTTTTTTAGACATCATGATTCATAGAATTGGTAGGAGTTTCAAATTCAATGTGTATAGAAAACCTACCAATGTGTGCTCGTATGTACATTTCTATCCAAATCATCATGTTCAGGTCAAGCGGGCAGTTTTTTCTGGTATGTTTCTCAGAGCACAGAGAGTTTGCAGTCCGGAATTTTCTAATGAAGAAATAAAAAATATATTTGAAATTGGGAAGAAGTTAAAATACCCAAAATCGATCCTGGATCTTGCGTTTGGTCAAGCAAAAAGGACTTTCTACAAACAGACTACTAAGTCTAAACCAGAACTGAAAAATTCGTTGGTATTACCATATTCTGAGGGTCTAGTAAATCTTGCCTCAGCCCTGAAGAACCTTAATATTAATCTAGTGTTCAAAAATGATAATACAGTTGAGTCTATGTTAATTAAGAACTCGCCAGGACGGGAGACATCTCCCGTCACGCTGGGTGCAGTCGCACCTCCACAGATCTCCAGTATCATCTATTGATACTGGTAATGGCTCAAAAGGGGCACCACTTACGGGCTATTCATGCCCGTGCCACCTTTTGGGTGCTTTTATCTTCATCAATCAATCAAAGAATTCGCCTTCGTCTGTAGCAGGTTGTGTGTATTCCATCCCTTGTAATGAGTGTGCATGTATTTACATCGGCCAGACAGGTAAATCTCTTTCTTCCCGTTTAAAACAGCATTCATATGCTATTCGTACAGCTCAGCACTCCAGTGCATTGTATGTATATATATATATATATATATATATATATATATATATATATATATATATATATATATATATATATATATATATATATATATATATATATATATATATATATATATATATATATATATATATATATATATATATATATATATATATATATATATATATATATATATATATATATATAAGTAGTGAAGTTGAGGACTACAACCGCGCGCACCATCTGGCCAGGTGGCTCTCTTCAGAGCCAGCTGGTCCAGGTGGGGTGCGCGGTCATAGTGACAAAGGGTTTGGGGGATTTTCCCGGAAGTTTGGCGCGTGTCGGACGCGTGTGAGCGTCCGGTGTTTGGGTATGCGGTCAGGAAAGATGGGAGGTCATGTTGTTGGGGGTGTAGGAGAGTATGTGGTAGAGTAAGAAATACAAGGATATGAGTGGAATATGAGGATAATAGTAAATGAATATGTATGTAGGAGAGTATGTGGTAGAGTAAGAAATACAAGGATATGAGTGGAATATGAGGATAATAGTAAATGAATATGTATGTGTGTTTGCCGTAGATTTAATCCTGTGTGTAGATAATAGTTTTGATTAAAGATGATAGTAAGTAAGCTATGTAGAGGATGAGTGTAGGTGTGAGGGGTCCCAACATAGGCGGATATGTTGTTTGGGGTGGGGGAGGGATGAGGGAAGGGTGAGGGGCGCTTCCCCTCGGTGTGAGAGTGCTTAGGGCCATTTGTGGTTTGTGGTTTTTTGACAGGCATTATTCTTTTCTTCGAGAGAGCAGAGTCCAGGAGGAGATGAGAGCTGCAGCAGGAGGGATGTGGTCCATTTGCCTTAATGGTTTTTCGATGTCTTCAGAGTTGTCTAGAGATGTTCACCCCAGCATGGCTCTCCATCCACTGTGGATTCGTTAAGGAGGGGAGACGTTCTTACTTCTGCCAGCAGGCCCTCACTTGTCATCGTCAATCATTCCCACCCCTCAACCCCCTCCTCTCCCATACCATCAGGGGCCCCCTCTCCATCCCCTCCATTACCTTCTAGAGTGGTACGGACCAGGATCACATACCGTCACATCGACCTGAGAAGTGTCACCACATGGCAAATCACTTAGTAAACTCAGTCAAAGTCAGTAGGTTAGCGTTTACTAAAAGAGGGAAACATTTTTTGGCGGGGAGCGAGCCTGAGGTGTACCATCTCTCTCTCTCTCTCTTTCCTGACACTCTCACTGGGACATGGCAAAGGCGTGCCATGAGCACAACATACAAATTCCATCAAGAACTACCTACGTGTTGCTAAACAGTCCAATCTCACACAAGCCGTCATATGGGCAGTAAAGGCTTGCAGAGACTCATAAAGGAGTCCAGGACTGAACTCCACAATTCATTTTTAGCTAAGCAAGTTACAATCATGACGAGTTAGTTACAAAATTCAATATAAGTCAACACATCGTCACGGAGACGCGATCTCTACCTACAAATTGTTTTGTTAACTGTGATCATTGAAATGTATGCATGTTTACTCAATCTCCATCACCTCTTCTTCCTACACCCATTACTGCTGTGCAGAGCATGTATCACACAACGGCGTTATCATAGCAAGACAATGTCACAGAATGTTCAAGACTCCTGAATGAATGAAATGGCAATCCGTCTCGTTAAGGTCTAACCTTCATGGCGGTTTGAGGCGTAGTGAGATGGACGAGGTACTGGGATGGCCTTACCCTCTCCCCATCCACCCCCACCAAACCCCTACCCCCCTCCCACCCCCTTTCCAAGCCCAAACCATCAAGCATCACTACACCCTTCCCAGACCGGATGTTCTGTGCAAAGCCTTTAGTATTATTTCTGGTCATATGTGTAACCTTGTATCGCAATGTGACCAACATGGTATCATCATTATTTGCTCAAATAGCATTTTTTAAGAATATCGAGAGTCATAAGCGAGTCTTCAATCTTATTATTATAACAAATCATAATTTGTTGTAAACACAACTGCATGGGATACACATAGCAGTCAGTGGTTTCTCTCTCTCTCGCTCTATTCAGATCATTTTATAGTTGGGGGAAAAGTAACATCAATTCCTCTCTCCTGCCACCGCTGTTCACATATCTTTTTTCATTTCACTTAGACTGACAGCGCACCAGAGGATGGAAGACTAATGTCAATTTTTCGAGCCCCCATCACTCTCACCCTTATAACCTTGTAACGTAACATGACCAACATGATGACATCGTTCTTTGCCCAAATATCATTAATGTAACGTGACCAATATGCTAACTTCGTTCTTTGCCCAAATATCATTTTAAGAGTAACGACCAACTTTCTGTCCGATGTCTGAATATTGAAATGTGAACCCCATTTACCCATACACAATATCTCCATTACATCTCATACCATATAAATATTACGGTCTGCAAGTTTTAGACCTCTGTAACACATTGTAACGTAACGCAAATCAACTTTCTGCAGTCCAAATAACATTATGAAAGTATGGCTTAGTCCATCTCCAACCATATAAATATTACTGTCTACCAGTTTTAGCCCCTGTAACACATTGTAACGTAACGCAAATCAACTTTCTGCAGTCCAAATAACATTATGAAAGTATGACTTAGGGGCCATGGTACCAGGATATAAGAAAAT